GAGAGAGAGAGAGATAGAGAGGAGTTTGTAGATGATTTAGGGCTTGAGTTAAATTGGGTGGAGTGAATGGGGGGTGGAAATGTAGATTAATTAAATTTTATAATATTATTATAAATATTTAAAGATTGAATTATTACTTGAATTTTGAATAAAAAGTTTTCAAAATTGATATTTGAATTCAGAAGTTAAAAAAAAAAATGTGTGGCTGTAATTTCCCCTTAAATTGAATCTCACGGGCACACACGTGCGAATTTTCAAAAAGAGGGCTAGGGTTTTAAGAGGTCGGTGATCCGGGCAGCCCGGGCAATACTGCCCGTTGGTTTTGTTCACTTATTAAGCTACCCCCTTCAGCCCTGTCGTCCCGCTTATTCTCTCCATTCGAAATCAGTCTCTCTTCTCTCACACATTCACACATCAGATTATACTCAGATTTCTGTATCTATATGTCTATAACAAATACGTACTAAGAGATACGGTTTTCAGTCGAAGAATACGTGTCCAATTCGCTTCAAGAAGCGGTTTGAGGAAGAGAGGAGAGGGAAAACCTAGCTACTGCAATTGGAATCGAAGTTATTTTGATTTTACGGCTTTTATTTGAGGTGTTTTTCTGTTTATTTAGCTGTTTTATTTCAGATCTACGGCATTTTTTTGTTTTATTAAATCTAATTTGAATTTGCTGTTTTGATGGTCTAGGGTTTAATACATGCGTGCTTTTCATTCGAAATTAATTAGGCTTTTGCTCGCTACTTTGATTTCTATGCTTGAGCGAGTATATATGCTGTGGTTTTCCCAATTCTGTTTTAGGATTGTTGATTGATAATTTTTGAAGAAAAAGTTGACTAGCTAGAGCTCTGCTTATGCTTAGCTAGAGTTCTTGTGTTTGGTTATGGGGAAAATTGGACTCTCTGATATCCATTTGGCGATTTATTTTACTTTCTTATTGGAAAGTGTGTCATATATTTAATTATCTATATGGCTGAAGATGAAATCTTCGAGTCCGTGATATTTTTTGGCTGAAAATGGCGTTGTTCTTATTGTTAACTTTTTTTTCATTCTTCACCACTCTTGTTTGACTTCTGGGATTGGAATACCTATTTAAAAGTAGACATCCTTAATGCTTCATTTAGTATTTCTTTCTTTTGCAGGGAAAATGGCCCTGGAGATAACCCAGTATCTATTGGCTGCTCAATCACCAGATGCAAAAATTCGAACAGAGGCAGAGAGTGCTCTTGGTCAGTTCAGGGACCAAAATGTACCGGGATTTCTTTTGTCATTATCTGTTGAGCTCTCAAACGATGGCAAACCAACAGAGTCTCGCAGACTTGCTGGTATTGTCCTTAAGAACTCCTTGGATGCCAAAGAAGCTGCAAGGAAGGAAAATCTCATTCAACAGTGGGTGTCGATAGACATTTCCATTAAATCTCAGATAAAAAGCTTTCTCCTAAACACTCTTGGATCTTCTGTTAGTGAGGCGTGTCATACTGCTGCCCAAGTAATTGCTAAGATAGCTTCAATTGAAATTCCCCGAAAAGAATGGCCAGAACTTATTGGATTGTTACTTGCGAATATGACTCAACCAGATAGGCCTGCGTCCCTGAAACAGGCAACATTGGAAACACTTGGCTATGTGTGTGAGGAGATATCTCACCATGATCTTGTGCAAGATGAAGTAAATGCTATCCTCACAGCTGTTGTTCAAGGGATGAATGTTAGTGAGGCAAACCCAGAGGTCCGGCTTGCTGCAACCAGGGCTTTGTTTAATGCCCTTGATTTTGCACAGACCAACTTTGAGAATGAGATGGAGAGGAACTATATTATGAAGGTGATTTGTGATGCAGCGTTGGCAAAAGAAACAGAGATTAGACAGGCTGCTTTTGAGTGTCTTGTTTCTATTGCATCAACATACTATGAGGTGCTTGAACCTTATATGCTAAGAATCTTCGAGCTTACATCCAATGCAGTCAAAGGAGATGAGGAGGCTGTTGCCCTTCAGGCAGTTGAGTTTTGGAGCTCCATCTGTGATGAAGAAATGGAGCTTCAAGACTATGAGGTCCCTGAGAGTGGGGATTCAAGTGCTTCACACTCTCGCTTCATTGAAAAGGCTCTTCCAACTTTAGTTCCTATGCTGCTAGAAACATTGCTTAAGCAGGATGAGGATCAGGACCAAGATGACGGAACATGGAATCTGGCCATGGCTGGTGGGACATGTCTCTGTCTTGTTGCTAGGACTGTTGGGGATGCTGTTGTGCCTCTGGTAATGCCATTTGTTGAGGCTAACATTTCGAAGACTGAGTGGCGAGCTCGTGAGGCAGCCACATATGCATTTGGCTCAATCCTCGAAGGACCAAGTACTGAAAAGCTTTCTCCTATGGTAAATGCTGGCTTAGATTTTCTGCTCAGTGCAATGAAGGATGCAAACGGTCATGTGAAAGATACAACTGCATGGACACTTAGTCGTATCTTTGAGTTATTGCACTCACCAGCTACTGGTTTCTCTGTGATTACCCCTGCTAACCTCCAGAGGATTTTGGGGATCCTGCTGGATAGCATAAAAGATGCACCACATGTGGCCGAGAAGGTCTGTGGAGCTATCTATTATATTGCTCAGGGTTACGAGGATGCAGGGACAAGCTCCTCTCTGCTCACTCCTTTCCTTCGAGATATCATAAGTAATCTTATTGCCACTGCTGATCGAACTGATAGCAGTGATTCCAAGCTCAGGTCTTCTGCATATGAAACCTTGAATGAGGTTGTTAGGTGTTCAAACCTTGCAGAGACATCCCAGATGATTGTCGAACTTCTACCTGTTATGATGTCTAAGTTAGAACAAACTTCAAATCTTCAAATAGTGTCATCTGATGACAGGGAAAAGCAAGGAGATCTTCAAGCCTCTCTTTGTGGCGTGCTTCAGGTAATTATTCAAAAACTAAGCAGTGCTGATGAAACCAAGCCCATCATACTCCAGGCAGCTGACCAGATCATGGTATTGTTCCTTAATGTGTTTGCTTGCCGTAGTTCTACTGTACATGAAGAAGCTATGCTTGCAATTGGTGCACTGGCCTATGCCACTGGGCCGGAGTTTGGGAAGTACATGCAAGAGTTCTACAAGTATCTGGAGATGGGTCTCCAGAATTTTGAGGAGTACCAGGTTTGTGCCATCTCAGTTGGGGTTGTGGGTGACATTTGCCGCGCATTGGACGACAAGGTCTTACCATATTGTGATGGGATCATGACACTTCTCCTCAAGGATCTCTCCAGTGGTGAACTTCATCGGTCTGTGAAGCCTCCTATATTCTCCTGCTTCGGGGATATTGCTTTAGCAATTGGCGAGCACTTTGAGAAGTACATCAGTTATGCACTGCCAATGATGCAAAGTGCTTCTGAAGTGTGTGCCCAAATGGACGACAATGATGAGGAGATGGTCGAATATGGAAACCAGCTCAGGCGCAGCATTTTTGAGGCTTATTCTGGAATTCTTCAGGGATTTAAAAATTCCAGGGCTGATTTGATGTTACCTCATGCTCCTCATCTCTTACAGTTTATTGAACTGGTTGCCAATGACCGGCATAGGTATTTTCACTCATTTTGCCTATTAGCTATATATATTTATTTCTCATTGTGTGGAGATGTCTGAACAATTCTAATATGTATGTCATACATGGTGCACGTTAGGGATGAGAGTGTAACAAAAGCAGCAGTTGCAGTTTTGGGTGACCTAGCAGATGCACTTGGTTCAAACATAAAGACGATGTTCAAAGATCGTGCATTCTTCACAGAATTATTAGGCGAGTGTCTTCAATCCGATGATGAACAGCTGAAAGAAACAGCCACATGGACTCAGGGGATGCTTGGACGTGCCTTCTCTGTCTATGGGTGAAAGGTTAGCTGCAACTCTCTGTTAATTTTTGTGGCTTCTTTTTCTTCGTTATGTTAAGGTTGAAGTTGTCAGGGTACCCACAAACGTGGGGTTTCTTGTCTTGTATGCTAATGTCTTTTGTAATGCGGATGAGACTTGTAGATGATGAAATTCTTTTCATTGATCTGCTAATTATGGATCAAAACTTTTTCCTACTTTTATGCAATATGGCCACTGGTCTTCTGTGGCATGTTCCTTGTTATTTACTGCCCGTAAAATCTCAAAAAATCCTTGTTGCTGGTGCCCGAGTTTTAATTCTTTTTGGACATGACTTTGACCACCATTTGTCATTTCTTTCCCCTTAATTTTGAGGGAGGGGAGGGGGCAGATGAGGTTTTAAATGTCTCTTGAAGAGAATGCTTAGATTATCTACGATCAACTCAGACACTAAAAAGTATCATTTGAAGTATTTGGTATTTGGCTTAACTGAATAAGATCACCATATATTTGACGTTTGAGTTTCTTTGTAGGTTCTTATAAGAAGCATTTGATGATCTGATTTTGTATAAATTATCAACTGCCAATGAAAAATTATATAGTCAAAATTTATGGAAAATTAAAATATGCACTTTTAGGATGTGTTTGTTTGCGTGAATAGGCAACGTTTAAAATTTAAATAAATAAATATTCCTATCACTGCTTTCAAACGAGATAGATCTTGTGTCATGACAGACAAATAGGATACCAAAAGGCAGGTAAATGTCAATTTTATAATTAAGCCAACGTTTTCATAATTCTGTCGACTAGAAAGTGGAAACAAATCTCTCGAAGGCACGTATTAGAATGAAGAAATACTCAGGGAACAGTGACCTGTCCTTGATGGATGTTTCTTTCAAGGTTGTCTTAAAGTTCGTAGAAGCCCCTTTTTGGAATGTTAAGGTTGTTTTAATAATTGTCAAGTGTTGAGAATGATCTTATGCTAAGCACAGCTACTCATTTTGTGTTGGACATTAATGATGTAACATATCAATTAATTGATATATGAATTTGTGGTGGGTCTCAATATGTGAATTAAATTTGTTGTTCATTAATGAAGCAGTCATTTATTATATTACAAGTGCTTAGCATAAGATGAGTATTGATATATTAATTCCTTGTTTAAGTGTTAACATGAACACATATTGCCATAAATAAAATTCTTTATTAGCTCATAACTTTTTACTAAGTAGATAAACCCAGTTTTGAAGAAATACATAATTCTCATTTTTGATTTTTAATACGTTAAGTCCCCGTTCGAAAAATCACTTTTTTCACAAAATTTATTCTTGAAAAATTTGTATCAAGCTCTAAGAGATATATGTGTCTTTTAAAAATTGAAGATGAGTTTAAATTTAAAATTTATTGTTTCTTTTTCAATCATGTCTCGAACTTTAATTAAGGGAGTGTATTCAATTGACATTAAAAAAGACTTTATTGTAGGTTTTTTTAGTGGGTGATTTTTGTAAATTTTGTGGACTTTTAAGTGATTTTCACAAAATTTATTCTTGAAAAATTTGTATCAAGCTCTAAGAGATATATGTGTCTTTTAAAAATTGAAGATGAGTTTAAATTTTAAATTTATTGTTTCTTTTTCAATCATGTCTCGAACTTTAATTAAGGGAGTGTATTCAATTGACATTAAAAAAGACTTTATTGTAGGTTTTTTTAGTGGGTGATTTTTGTAAATTTTGTGGACTTTTAAGTGATTCTTATACTTATATAAACTTTCATTAAAAAAATTTATAGACTTCCATTTTTCAAAGAAAAAAATATTAAGCCTATACGATATAATATTTTAAGCTTCTTGTATGTCTAAATCATCCACAACATATACAATTAAGAACACAAAGTAATAATGCTTTCGGGGTATATCCCAGTGGTGTAAAGGATAAGGGTGATGTATATTCAGTTTTATTGACAGTCGCAGTGTGAGGGTTCGATTTTTGAAACATGAATTGTGACTCTTTGTAGGCATCAGTATACAGGCAGCTCTTGTTCCCTGACTTTTTGGAGTACATCTTGCGATTAATCTCTCACGATGCCTTAGGGGTGGGTGGTAGGAGACTCTTAAGATTGGGGGTTCAACCTTTTTTTTAAGAACACATTAACAAATCATATTTTTCATGTCAATAAAAATATAGTTTTAAAAATATAAAAAAAATTTAATTCGCATCAATTTGATTAACAAATAAACAAAATATTAAAAGGAATTAGTAATATTCAATAAAAAATGTATAATATTCCCAATATCATTCCACGGCTGCTATGTAGTCTTCCATGCATTAACATTCACTCTCTCTCTCTCTTTTGACTCTCAAAAAATAGTCCATAGTGTTCCTCTTCATTAAATGAAGAAGATGACAAAGTTTCATTTTTAGGTTTAGTTGAGAATTCATCAAAAAAAATATTTTTTGCGAAAAAAATTGTGTATACAACATGAAAATGGAGGAACTGGTTTGAAATTATGAATCGTGATTTAACTATATCCAATATCCTCTTGGCTATGTTCCTCAAAGAAGCATGACAAAGATTAAACAATTTCTTTTACATTTTTAGGATCAACGACCTTAATTAGCAAAATCTTGAAGATGATAGTGAGCACCTCATAAAGGAACTAAGAATTGATGTCAATTTGGTAATACACAATTTGCCAAAAAATATTTACATGTACATAAAATACTTGTAGAATTAACAAATAACTCATAACGTGTATAATCGTGGTAAAAAAAGAAAAAAAATGGAATTATAAATTCATACATTGTAGTAATTTTTAAGTCCATTTTTCTTGTTAAATCATTATTCAACACCTTGGAGTCATATGTACTAATGCTTTCCAACCAATAATCACCATGAATCACGTATATAAATTTCAAATCAAAGTTACAAGTAGCTAAAAA